GGGGATATCTAGAGTCTGTCATTTCACTCTGGGTAGGGTCCAGGCACTCCCCTAAGAGTCCAGGCTGAGAGAGCATCCCTCTTTGTGCTATAGGCACACGATGACTGTTTGTCCTATGCTGGCCTCCCCACTGTCGCTCTGGGGTCCAAGAGCTCTCCCCTGTTCAGATCAGCTGTCTCTGCTGGTTTTGCCAGCCCATTCTTTGCCAATTTGCTCATCACTCCTCTCTCTCTGCCACTGGGTTCCTTGGGTTCAGTTCAGTGATTAATTGTGTGTTTGCCTCTGCTTCCATCAGTCACAGGATGAAGGTTCCTAGATGGCTATAGACATCAAGTTCATTATCAGGAATGGGCATTCGAGGTGGTCTCTCCACTATTGCTTAGCTTGCCAATTGGTGTTATCACTTTAGATCACTCGAGGTCACTCTGGTACCTGATCTGGACCCCCCAAATGTGAGTGTCAGCGAGAAGGCCTGGGCAACCTATGGGGCCCTGCGTTGTGGATCAGTGTCTATCCCTGGAATACAATCAGTCATCGTGTGCCTATAGCACAAAGAGGGATGCTCTCTCAGCCTGGACTCTTAGGGGAGTGCCTGGACCCTACCCAGAGTGAAATGACAGACTCTAGATATCCCCTATGTGGAAGGATTTGGCAATAGGGTGGGAGGGTGGAGGGGAAGGGGAGTGTGGGAGGAGGGGAGGGAGAGGGAACTGGGATTGACATGTAAAACAAGCTATTTAAAATTAAAATAAAAAATGATAAAAAAAGTAAAAAAAAAAAAAAAAAGATTGTAAGAGCTAGAGTTTAGGGAGGACTTGAGTCAAACAGTGTTTTCTGAATATGACCTCACAGCAGTTGTGGTTGCCCAAACAAGGCCTGCACAATTTCAAGTCAGGCAACATTTGGGCATGGAGCGGGGAGGAGCTCATGAGCCCCACCCACCTTGGTTGGGAAGCTATTGATAGTTGATGACTTCTGAGGAGGGAGAGTCAGTTTTCTTTAGAGATCTGACACCAGGTAGGTTGACATGCTCCAGTGGAAGGCCCTACACTAATGAGCACATGTGCAACACAAATTGGTATCAGTGGGCTTTGAAAAAAGGACACAAAGCTGAGAGGGAGTATGGGGTGGGCAAACTGTGGATCTGGGAGGAGTTACGGAGAGGAGGGTGAATATGATCAAAATACATTGTGTATGCCTGTGACAGTCTCAAAAAAGTAATGAAAACACTATTTTAAATTTTTTTAAAAATCATGGTCAGAAGCCTCTTCAGCCCAATCTAACACTTAATGTTCATAAATGTAATCTATGTATTTAATTACATAATTATTTTTAAACATTTTCTACAACTGAGATAGGCTGTTACCCTGTCTCCAAGTTGACTGCATTCGTTCCACTGGAGATACTCTCTCAGCTAGGTCAGGTTTCTCTATTCTTAGTATAAATGAGACCCTTACTATAACTGTCAAGCTCTGACATCTTCACATTTTAAAATGGATCCTTAAGGCTCCTCACCAGATGATCCCAACTGGAATGACTGTCACACAAGCTAAAGCTTAGGAACTCTTCAACGGGCAGCTACGTTTTAACTGCCATGACCAGCACAGCACTGGAAAGCATGGCCAGGACAGGCAGACATGAGTAAGGTCCATCACCAGATGCTCTCCTGGCTCTGACATGTAATATAGGATTATATGTCAGATCTTCAAATTTTAGTGTTTAAATATATAAGGAACACTAGAAGTCAGACATAAGTTAATTAAAACTGCTTATTTGTTATTATCTTTAATGCAACTGGATATAATGACATTACATACGTTTTTCCTGAGAAATTTTCAGTATGAATTTTGAAACTACTTTTACATAGATACCATAACTGGAATATATAAATTACACTTCTGTTTCACATCTGCCACTGATGGATATCTATGAAAGCATCATTTCCTTCCATCTTACATTGAGAAACAGGAAACAGGCAAAGCCCAGAGTGAAGACTAACAGTTTACCCAAATAAAAAACTCTTCAAGAAACAGTAATTTCTAACAAAGTCCCTGAATCAAGATGCAACAAAAGAGAATAATCTACCTTATCTCCTGCTAGATGACAGATTGCTGAACTCAGATGAGGAATAGGTGGAGATACCTAAAATATGTACAAGCTGATATAAAGGCATTTTTGTTTCAGCATCATAAATACTTTTTGTAAGTCAGCATTTGGACCTAGCCTAACTTGTAACTTATATAGAAAAGGTTTCCAAGATAAAAATAAAGGTAATTTTGAAACATAATTAACAAATGTAATTCAAAGACAGTTGTCTGCAACTGAAGGAAAACTTCTCTGGGACTTCAGATGAAGAATAATGAGAAACAACCTTCAATTGTTTTTTTCTTCACAGAGCACTATAAGGACCATGCTGGCAACTATATGAGACGTGTTCTTCAAAACAGAGAAGACTGGGCATCTACAGATGATTGTGGTTCACTGCTCTGAATTCACCATTTTACAGCCATACCCTCTAGTCACACTCAGACTGTGTTAAACAGTAATCTATTACTTAAGAGCATCCACTATGCCAAAACAGGGACTCTTCACAACCACAGTTTGACCACACAACAGAGCAATGCATCACATCATAGGCCGCACAATGCTCTTACAGGTTTTAAAGGGCTGAATGCAAAAATCTTACATTTGCTACATACAATAAACTACATTTCATTAACTTAAAATGCCTGCTCAAAATAACCCTCACAACTTCTTTGTAGCAAGTGATAAGCTTATTAAGTTACTTAGTGAACATTTTTCAATGAATACATTTTCCCCATTCAAATGTAGCACACTATCTGAGAGTAATGCTTTAATGAGCACTCAAACTTTCAGCTGTAGACTGCAGTACCCATGATGCAACAACAATAGCAGCTGATTATTCTTAAGAGAAAATAGCTACAAGAAAACTCCCTGGTTTTTTTTCTTGAAACTGTATCACCAAATTAACTATGATACTCTGGATTCAGTGTGCTTTCAATTCATAATTGAGATCATCCTCTCCACCAAACCATCATTGAAATAGAGAAAAGTTTTATGTTAGGTTCTATATTTTGTTCCGCTGTATCCCATTTCTCCTAATGACAGATGCTGTGGGCTGATCTCACAGGAGCCAAGGAGACCACGCTGAGGTCAGATCTCCTTGTGGGAGGCGAGGAGAGAGGGAAACTTTCACAGCGAGGAATGTGGTTAATGCATCCTCTATTCTCGTCTCAAGCTTTTCAGCTGGTGCATCACAATCCTGCTCTTCAGCAGGGGCACACTCACTACAGCTCTCTGTATCTCACCTTCTTAAAATCAAAGACTCAATCCTAAAGCGTTAACAGAAGAATTACAAAGTAACTCTCTAGTTTGCATTTCCCATAATACTAAAATAAGGCTTTATCTCTAGTCTAGAACTTTGCTTTTTTAATACTGCAGAAAGCCTCCGTGAATCTGTTTAACGTATTTACTCTTTTCATCTATTCAGTGCCACTGGGCATAACACGTATTGCAGTGCGTGCCGCTGTCTTACACGGCGCCACATGACTCACTGTACCGCGGCGCACTCCACTAATCCTGTTTGGACAGCTGGGTCCAAGAGCTTCTCAGCTGCATTTTAATTGTTCCATCTTTTTTTTTCCTTTTTATTTATCTCTATGGCAAACTACTCAGGAATTTAATTTGTCAGGCTTCAAAAGGTAAATTTTGCCATTAATTTGTTTTCTTTGTATTAAGCCTATACGAGGTGTGTAATTTTTTTTCTCCCACAAAATCGAAATACATTAATGATTACCAATTACTCTTAAATAACGAAGTACAATAAATAAAATTTGCAGAGGTTTAAAGTGGAAAGATGGCTGATCACTACCATTATCTGCTGGACTGTGCTAACAGATACAGCATTTAGCTTCAAATGGTGGCACTAATGTGCATGTTTCAAGATTAGCACACCATAAGCAGACGTGTCCTACCAATCAGACACAAAAGAGACATACCCACTAAATGAATGGCTGGTGGAATAGAGGTCTCTTTTACACTTACACTTGAATTCTACTTTTTATTAAAATATGGAAGACTTTGTAAAAAACAATTACCAAGAAAACAACAACGTTCCCACTTGCTGACATAGCTGCAACACTGATGACATGAGTCTTGAATCAGTAACAGAGGCAGTGTCTGAGCAGAGCAAACCCCCAGGCCTACAAGCGCTACTGAAGCCAGGGTCAGAGTTCACAGATGAAATCCATCTGGTAATTTTCTAATCACTAATTTCCAAAGTTAAAACCTAAGTCTAGAGAATTGTATAGAACTGCCTAAAAGAAACTTCTGCCTGAAATAATATTTAGCCAAAAACACACAGCCTAGAACAATGCTTTGTAAAAAGGGTTAAATGACTTATAACTCAACTCTTTCAGTGACAAAGTAGAATTCTCTTTTACTTTTAAAAGATGGTAAAACCCTATCTGAACCCTGACGACGTAAGGAAATGCTATGATTGGCAGGCATGTGCTCCCAGGGACTGCACATCATGCTCAGCTCTATTTTCATGGACACAAAGCACCTTAAAATGGGTTTACAAATCTCTACTTTTAAAAATCACACATTAAACTACACATTTGGAAAGACACTTCCCGTATAAAAAATTGGTTTAATATTTTCTAGGCATTAAACTGTTTTTAAAAGTCAGCTTCTACACTAGAATATTCAGAAGCCCAACTTGTGAATGTAGTGAGGGAAAAAAAGTCTATTGTTTAGGAAAGGAATGTTTGAAGTGCCTAAAAAATAAATGGCCTTTGTCTAAGAAAAGCACTTGTTTTGGTATGGCCCTATACACAAATGAAATACAGAATAATGTAAAAGAAGTATTATATTTCAAAGGTGATTTTGAAAAACAATTTACAAAGCAAAAGTTGAGATTTAGTAAATCTATCTATAAAGATATGGATTTTTAATGAACATTTCTCGGTAAAATTTACCCAGTGTTCTTGACATCACAGGCAGAGCAGAACTCAAGACTAAGATTGACACACAATTCCCAATGATCTGTGGAGAGAAAGAAAGAATGGTAAGGAGTAAAACTGCAGGAGGCAAAGAGCCACTAACAGCACTCTGGGAAGCCACAGTACAGGGCACTAGGCAACTTCTTAATGATACTAACCATTAGAGTAAAATTTAAATATAATGAGCCTTTCCATTTAAAGTTATCTCTATGAATTCCACAAAACACATATAATGTAGGTGCAAATATAAACTCAATAGAATACTTAAATCACACACATTTTATATTATTGATGTTAATGTGAACGCTTTGACTATGAAATAAAAAAAAAGAATACCTTTGGACTTCTGACTAAATCTTAAGGGCTGGTTGCTGCCAAGTTCTTTTATATAGTATCTACTCTGATCTGTTTAACTTATTATAAGATTCAGTCTTAGATCTGAAAACACTAGAAACCAAAATATCTTCTGTTTATTCTTTCATCTTCAATAAGAGGCACTGAAAACACCGATTAGTATTTATAATCAATCACCTCAACTAAATACTGGCTACTTATTGACTTTCAAGAATCTTTAGCCTTGGAGAGTCAACAAAGTCTGGCATACCAAGTTGGGGCAGGACCAAGCCCCTCCTTCCTGTATCCAGGCCGAGCAAGGTATCCCACCACAGAGAATAGGCTCCAAAAAGCCAGTTCATGTCCCTGGGATAGGTCTTGGTGCCACTGACAGGGTCCCTCCCCCAACAGATCAAGTTACATAACTGTCACCCACATTCAGAGGGTTTAGTTTGGTCCCATGCAGGTTCCTCAGCTGTCAGTTCAGGAAGCAGGGAGAAGGGGAGGGAGGAGAGACTCGGGTTGGTATGTAAAATTAAAAATAAATTTTTAAATAAACTTTTTTTAAAAGAATGGAAAAAGAAAGAATCTATAGCCTTATACATCTGGATGGATGGATGGATGGGTGGGTGGGTGGGTGGGTGGGTGGATAGATAGATAGATAGATAGATAGATAGATAGATAGATAGATAGATAGACTATATATATAATATGTATTATAGAGGGGAGGTTCTTTGTCATACACATACATATATCTATACATACATACACACTTTAAATAGGCTGTAAATATAGACCATATAATAAAAAAGGAAACAGGCCAGCAGCTTTTAAACATTCTTCTTAGGCAGCCTGTGAGACTATTTTACAAAGATCCATTTATTATGTAAGATAACAGTCTTTATTGTTCTGGCCAATGACATATTATATGAAGTCAAATTAGCCTCAAACCACACAGTTTCTGAACAGAGAGCTCCTCCTTCTCACATTAATTATTCAGAATTGAAATACTTTGTCTCTACTACTTGTAGCAACTAAGTTCTTCAGATTTCAGAAAAGTTCCTGAAGTACAGTTAGCATAGTCCAAGTTACTCATTAGCAATATGCTCTCTTTAAGAAGAAAGGGGGTCCTTTCAGGAGAACTCTACAGCTAGTTACCAAGTTCTGTAGTGCTATGTATTTACAAGTGAATGGACGCAGTCCAAATTACACAGAGCACATCCTTTCCCAGTCACTCAGCATTCTGAAAGTCTTCCTTTGTGTGTCTGCTGCTTAAAAATACCTACCAGCTAAGATGAACCATTCAGGGCGATTACTAACTAAAGCACTTGTTTGTCTTGGACGCAAAAGAAAAGCTACCAGCACCCAAGACTTTACCTTACCTTTGTCATAGTTGTGTCATCCTTCTTGGGTGTAAAGTTTCCAAAAAATCTGAGGCTATAGAAACCAACAACAGAAGACACCATGAGATAGCTGTGAGAATGAAGGAAAAATGCTCCAAGAGAATGCACATTTCCCAAAGTCTGAAGCCCACAGGAAAAACAAAACCCAACAAAAAGCCATTGAGGCTTGAGAAGGACCAACTTGCTTTTCCTTCTAGACAAGTGTCTTACTAAATTACCATGTCCCCAAGAACTAGACAGAAAACTTGTTAATAGACATAACATTCAGCTGAAGAAAGGATACAAAATCAGAATGATTTCAAGTGCAGCTCCCACAAAGCCAAAAGTGGAAAGAGAGGCGCTTCCTATCCCAGGACCCTGCAGGGAAGACACTCCTCAGAACCAGTGATACCATTACACAAGACAGTTCCAATTGGGAGCATACAACGCCTAAGAATACCATGAATCTCCCAAAAGCCAACTGACTTCATTACAAACTCAGCAGCATGTTAATAATTTTAACAGGTTCAAAATTAACCCGATTTACCTCAGCTGTACTTTTAAGTCCCTTGCCAAAATGATAACTTTACAATTACTGCTATAAAATGGAATAATCTACTATTTGAGAAAAGCATCTTGAATATTCTAGGAAATTTTTAACTAGACTAATATATAATAGTTTAGAGTATAATAGAGACCCAAACAAGGCAGAAACAACATATGAAAATTATACTATAAAGCCTACCAAATTTAAGATACACTTACAAGTCATGTATGTATATCCGGTTTCCTTTTCTCAAATTTTTCTCAACAATTCAGTTACAAAAGTGTGACTGCTATCACTTTTTTAAAAAAATTAAAGTAATTTTAAAACAAAAAACAGTGCATAACTTTCATAAATATTAGCTCAATCTCACCACCTACCTTTACCAAGAACTTAGACAAAACAGAAAAATAATGTCCAGATGCGGATAACTGACAGTATATATCACTCCCCACTAAAATAGAAACAGTACTTTTAAAGCTTATTGCTAGAGATTAAAAGATAATCTCTGAATAACCATCACCATTCCCCTGGTCGTCTTAAATTACAATAGCAGAGGTAAAGCAAAATGCAGTCAGACTAATAAATAAAACACAAATCAATACATGGTATCATACACATTACATATACACTCTAAGTTGGACATAAAGGAATAAGAATAACCATGGCAATTCCATACATGAATAAAGTGATAGCATGAGTATCATATTTGTCATTTAAGAGAACATGAACAATGCCAAGGGCAAGTGGTCAGTTTTTGGACACATTAGCCCAACGTGGCACTCTAGGAAGATCCCTTGTTGTAGGGGCTGTGCTCCCTACTCCAGAGAAGAGGAGCCTCCTCCTTCCTGAAGGCAGGACCCAGAAGTAGTAGACATATGATTAGGGAGCAGCACACCACACCCTCATGGTCCAGCTTGCCCACTGCTGTCCACTCCTCAGCAAATGGAAGCTAAGCATTCATAAATATTGTATTAAATAAATCCATCCACTTTTCTCTCACTATACCTTTTGCTACTCACACCTCCACCATGAACCCTGTGCTGGATAAGGAAAAGATCCTACTTTCCTCCCCTACAAAGGTATACGGGCCACGATGGAAAAATGTTCTGGAATATTCACTCTCTCAAGAGAGACTGGGAAAATTAAAAAGGGCTCATCTATTTACAGGAGCATGCAGGGAGCCCTGGAGGTACAAGTCACTGTACTGTGTAGTAAGGAGATGACACAAAATGCACCCTGCTCCTCTGCTACAGTCAAGTGTGGTGAGAGTCAACAAAAGTCACGGGAGCCGCTTAATGGTTAGGGACTTTGGGATTTAAAAAGACGCTCTGAGTTACAGAGAGAGGAATGCTCTTTGCAGAAGACACTCAAGGGAGAACTGCTGGGTGAATCAAGGGTGACAGAGGGAAAAAGGTCCCAGACACACTGCTAGTTGGGAAAGTCAAGAAAACGGCTAAAGAAAATAAAAGCAGGGTATCTTCATCTCGTATGAAAAGAAAGGAATTAAGATAGGGACTGACTTTTTTTCTATGAGAAAAAAATGGCAACATCTAGCTTACAGAGAAATGTGACATAGTAAGGTCAGGAGGGTTTTAAAGTCACTACTATGATGACCGGAAAAGCTGGTGACATAGGAAAACAAAATGAACTTCAAAATGTAAATCAAATACCACTTTATATATTCAAAAGCCCCCAGATCTGATGGCCCCTACCTGTAATCCCAGTATGCAGGAGGTGGGAGCAAAAGGATCAGACGTTAAGCTATCCTTAGCTCCATAGGGAGCTTGAGGCCAGCCTAGGCTACATGAGATCCTGTCCCAAAACATAAACACAAGCATGTATGTATATGTATTTATACAAGTATGTGTACATGCACAGACATGTGCACATGCATGTGTGCCCACACACACACACCACCAGCAACAGCAGCAGAAAAGGGATGCTTCCAAATTTTATAAACCCCCTAGAAAAGTGTGCAAGGTAAATATAGTGGCATACATCTGTAATCTCAGCATTTAGAAGGCTGAGACAAGAGCATTGCAAAAGGATGACAAAAGACAGCATGTTAACTATGAATATTTAATGATATATGTCTTCCTAAATGAAAAGACAGTCAAATATATGCCAGAATCTAACAAAATGATCAACTTTTTTATTTGGGACTATTTTTGAGACAGGGTCTTCATGTGTAGCCCAGGCTAGCCTTGAACTCAAACTCACAACGTTCAGTCTCTGGATTGCATGCTAGGATTATATGCATGTGACACCATGACTACTGGAATCATCAATCTTTAAACCAGATAAAAGTTTACTTATGAAAGAAAACACATCTGGACTCTCCTCTAATAACCACACACATTAAGCAATTTCATAAATTTTGTGATACTTCTGACATACAATTCCCTCCACTTTTCCCATTAGATAACAAATTTGTTAAATCTAGTTGATCTGCTCTTTATACATCACTATTTTAGAGCATGCATTTCTTTAAAGAATTACAAATAAAAATGTCAGTAAAAATCAACATCAAGTCTGACACTGAAGTCTATAAGTAATCCTGATACTTGAAAAAAATGCCCTAGAAACCAAAAGTGTGTGTGTGTGTGCATGCATATGTGTGTTTATGAACATGTTTGTGAAATCTCTTTATTTGGAGAAATTCATAGGGCTTAGAATATTTACATCCAGAAAGGTGTTTCCAGGAACTTAAACAAAATATTCAGACACACATGTAGAAAGACTTTTGAATACATTTAACTTTACCCTTGTTCCCTTTGGCATTGCAGTCTCATCAACTAGCAGGCAAAGAATATTGCACGCCACCAAGAGGACCGAAATGGACTGCAACAGAGAGGGAGCTGTCAGGTCTCAGTTTCAAATGCTACTTTTGACAATACCCATCACATGTGTCTTTCAGAATGGGGGACAGCACAGTGTATACAAGAACTCCCAGTCAAACTCTAAACATTCTGAAATTCTAGTTTCAAGGGTGGATTTACTATGTAGACTTCTCAGTGAGAAGCCCGCAGCTCCGCAGACTCTACCAGGGTGAGTTTTACCACAGTTAATCTTGGACAGGAGCCCATCCCTTTTGGAGCAGCAGCCATGCTTTCTGCTTTCTTAATTCTCAAGCGAACCTGTAGTCCCTGCTGCAGGGGGAAGTACAGCCTTAAGGATTTATCTAATTGTCATTTCCACTTTTGCACTGCTGAATTCTTACAAATTGATATACAGACAGATTTTGATTCTGTTGATACAAACCCAGTTTACTGGGAACAGCTTCACTAAGGGAAACACTAAACAAAAGACAATACACTTTATTTAAGCCAGCAAGTAACTTCTTACTGTTTCAATAAGAAGAAGAACCATAACAGCAGGATACACCAAATTTCTCTCCCACGCTGAAGCCTTTTTTCGCCTCTCTATTAAAAATATAAAGAAAATAAAAATTTTCAGCCATTTTCAAAAATTCTCTCCCGGTTCATAATTTCATCACACCTTTAAAAAACATAAATTTTAAGATAGTTTTTTATTTTCCTCTACAAACTATGAAAATCCATTTGAAAATCAGCTTACTACATTAAAAGTTCAATAAAATTTCAGCTTGGTAAAGACAATTTTGCTTTTAAGGAAATACAGCTAATAAGTATCTCACTTTTAAGATGAAGAATATGTATATGTGATACACATGTATATAATGATAAAGACAGATATTTGAGTGAATAAAGGAGTGTGGACAATAATTCCCTCTAGTCTCGGGTCCAAGGCTGAGCATCTGTTTTCCAAAGACTATAAGGGAACTTCCCTTCTGGCTGAAACAAACTACTTTATACCACACCTGTCCCAGGCTATCAACACTAGGGAAGAGGGACTGAACTTGAAAACCATCTCTAGATGTATTAGAGCAACAAGATAAGGAAAGAAAGAGTAGTGTAGTGGAGGTGAGCCCTCCCTGTGGACATCCATCCCCAGCAAGGCATTTTCAATATAGAGTTGGCATGGGCCCAAGAGTCTAAGAAACCAAGTGAAAGCCAAGGGACAATGAATGGCAAAGAGCTGGAGTGGCTCAGCAGCTCAGAGAGCTTCATGAAAATGATAGAGGCCCTCAAAGAGGATATGAGAAAAATTCCTTAAATAAATGGAAGAAAAAACAAACGAAAAAATGCATGAAATCAACAAATCTCTTAAAGAAAGTAAGGAAAGCCAAGAAAAAAAAACAGATGAACAAAACAATTCAAACAGTTCAAGACCTGAAAATTGAAAATAGAGACAATAAAGGAAACACAAACTGAGGAATTGCTAGAAATAGAAAAGATGTGGTAAATGATCAGAAACTACAGATGCAAGCATAACCAACAGAATACAAGGGATGTAAGAGAAAATTTCAGGCGCTGAAGATAAACTAGAAGAAATAGATTCATCAACCAAAGAAAATCTTAAATCCAACAAATCCTTAACACAAAATATCCAGGAAATATTGGACACAGCGACAAAGACCAAACCTAAGAATAATAGGGATACAAGAAGGCGAAGAAGTCCATCTCAAAGGCGCAGAAAAATATTCAACAAAATCATAGAAGAAAACTTTCCCAACCCCCATCCTGAAGAAGGACATGCCTATGAAAGCACAAGACTTAAAAAACACCAAATAGACTGGACCAAAAAAAAAATGTCCCCTCACCACATTAATAATGAAAACACCAAACATACAGAATAAAGAAAGAATATTAAGAGCAGCAAAGGAAAAAGGCCAAGTAACATATAAAGGCAGATATATCAGAATTACAACAGTCTTCTCCATGTGAATTCTAAAAGCCAGAAGGTCCTAGATAGAAATTCTACAAACATTAAAAGACCACGGATGCCAGCCCAGACTACTATACACAGCAAAACTCTCAATCACTATAGATATATCCACAAATCCAGCACTACAGAAAGTTCTTGAAGGAAAAAACTAACCCAAGGAGGTTAACTACACTCACAAGAACATAGGCAATAGATAATCACACTTTACCAGAATCCAGAAATAGGGGAAAAACTCACACACAATACCATCACCAAAAACAAATGCAAAACAAACAAGAATCAACAATCAACAGTCATTAATATCCCTCAATATCAACAGTGTTAACTCACCTATAAAAAGACACAGGCTAACAGAATGGATACAAAGTCAGAATCCATCCTTCTGCTGCATACAAGAAACACACCTCACCTTCAAAGATGGATGTTACCTCAGAGTTAAGGGTTGGGAAAAGATTTTCCAAGTAAATGGCCCTAAGAAGCAAGCTGGTATAGCTATCTTAATATCTAACAAATGAGACTTCAAACCGAAATTAATCAAAAGAGATGAGGAAGGTCATTTCATATTCATCACAGGAAAAGATGAAGTCTCAATTCTCAACATCTATACACCAAATAAAAGGCACCCACATTCATTAAAGAAACATTACTAAAACTCGAATCACACATTAAACTCCACACATTTATAGTGGGAGACATCAACACTCTGCTCTCAACACTAGACAGGACTACCAGACATAAACTTAACAAAGAAACAAAGGAACTAACAGAAGTTATGACCCAGTTGGGATTAACAGACATCTATAGAACATTACATCCAAACACAAAAGAATATACCTTCTTCTCAGTGCCACATGGAACCTTCTCTAAAATTGACCACATACTTGGCAATAAGGCAAACCTCAACAGATACAAAAAAAATTGGAATAACCCCCTGTATCTTATTGGACCACCATGGCTTAAAATTAGAATTCACCATAACACAAATTGTAGAAACCCTACAAACTCAGGGCAATTGAACAATGCTCAACTGCATCACTCATAGGTAAAGAAAGAAATAAAGAAAGCAATCAAAGACTTCCTAGAATTCAATGAAAATGAAGGCACAACATATTCAAACCTATGGGACACTCTGAAAGCAGTGCTAAGAGGAAAGTTCATAGCACTAAGTGCTCACATGAAGAAACTGGAGAATAGCCACACTAGAGAATTCACAGAACACCTAAAAGCTCTAGAAAAAAAAAAGGAGCAAACTCACCCAGGAGTAGTAGACACCAGGAAATAATCAAATTGAGAGCAGAATCAATAAAGTTGAAACAAAGAAAACAATACCAAGAATCAATGAAACAAAGAGTTGTTTTTTTGAAAAATATCAACAAGATAGACAAATCTTTATCCAACCTAACTGAAAGGCAGAGAACATTCAAATTAACAAAACCAGAAATGAAAAGTGGGGCATAGCAACAGACACTGGAGAAATCCAGAGAATCATCAGGTCATACTTCGAAAACCTGTACACCACATATTTGGAAAATTTAAAGGAAATGGATAATTTTCTGGATAGATATCACTTACCAAAATTAAATCAACAACAAATAAGCAATTGAAATAGACCTATAGCCTCTAATGAAATAGAAATAGTCATCAAAAGTCTCATAACCAAAAAAAGCCCAGAGCCAGATGGTTTCAGTGCAGAATTTTACCAGAAATTCAAAGAAAAACTAATACCAATACTCCTCAAATTGTTCCACACAATAGAAACAGAAGGATCATACCAAACTCTTCTTACAAGGCCACAATTACCTTGGTAGCCAAACCACACAAAGACACAACTAAGATACAGAACTACAGACCAATATCCCTCATGAACACTGATGTAAAAATACTGAATAAAATACTGGCAAATTGAATCCAAGAACACATCTGAAAAATCATCGACCATGATCAAGTAGGCTTCATCCCAGGGATGCAGGGATGGTTCAACATATGAAAATCCATCAATGTAATCCACCATATAAACAATCTGAAAAAGAAAAACCACATGATCATCTCACTAGATGCTGAAAAAGCCTTTGACAAAAATCTAACACCCATTCATGATAAAGGTCTTGGAGAGATCATGGATAACAGGAACATACCTAAACATAATAAAGGCAATATACAGCAAACCAACAGCCAGCATCAAACTAAATGGAGAGAAACTCAACGTGATTCCTCTAAAATCAGGAACAAAACAAGGCTATCTATCCTCTCCACACCTCTTCAATACTGTACTTGAAGTTCTAGCCAGAGCAATAAGACAACAAAAGGAGATCAAGGGGATACAAATTGGAAAGGAAGAAGTCAATCTGTTACTATTTGCCAATGATATGATAGTTTACATAAGTGACCTGAAGATTTCTACCAGGGAACTCCTTCAACAAAGTGGCAAGATACAAGATAAACTCAATAAAATCAGTAGTCCTACTATATATAGACAATAAGGAGCTAAGAAAGAAATCAGAGAAACATCACCCTTTACAATAGCCACAAACAATATAAAATACCTTGTGGTAACTCTAACCAAACAAGTGAAAGACCTGTCTAACAAGAACTTTGAGTCCTTAAAGAAAGAAATTAAAGAAGATACCAGAAAATGGAAAGATCTCCCATTCTCTTAGATAGGTAGGATCAACATAGTAAAAATGGCAATCTTACCAAAAGCAATCTACAGATTCAACCCAATGCTATCAAAATCCCAGCACAATTCTCCACAGACCTTGAAGGAAAAATACTCAACTTTATAAGGAAAAACAAAAGACCCAAGATAGCCAAAACAACTCTGCACAATAAAGGAACTTCAGGAGGCATCACCATCCCTGACTTCAAACTGTACTATAGAACTATAGTAATGAAAACAGCTTGGTATTGGCACAAAAACAGACTGGTAGACCAATGGAATCTAATTGAAGACCATGATATTAACCCACATACCTATGAACACCTGATCTCTGACAAAGAAGCTAAAACTATACAATGGAAAAAGGAAAGTGTCTTCAATAAATGGTGCTAGCATAACTGGATGCAGACATATAGAAGATTGCAGATAGATTCATATCTATTGTCATGCACAAAATTTAAGTCAAATAGATCAAAGACCTCAACATAAATCCAGTCACACTGAACCTCTTGGAAGAGAAAGTGGGAGGGCCCTTTGAACAAATTGGCATAGGAGACTACTTCCTGAATATAACGCTAGGTGCACAGACACTGAGATTGACAATTAATAATGGGACTTTCTGAAACTGAGAAGCCTCTGTAAGGCAAGGACACAGTCAACAAGACAAAATGGCAGCCCACAGAATGGGAAAAGATCTTCACCAACCCCACATCTGACAGAGGGGTGATCTCCAAAACACACAAAAAAACTCAAGAAGCTAGCCACCAAAACACCAAATAATCCAATTAAAAAGTGGAGTACAGAACTAAATAGAAAACTCTCAATAGAGGAATCTAAAATGGCTGAAAGACACTTAAAAAAGTGCTCAATATCCATAGCCATCAGGGAAATGCAAATCAAAACAACTCTGAGATACCATCTTATACCAACCAGAATAGCTAAAATCAAAAACACGAATGACCGTTTCTGCTGGAGAGATGCCCCACAGTGGAGCAGGTCCCTAGAGCAGTACTTTTCTGGTCCAGCTTAATGAGATTTCAGAGCCAGGAAACTAAATTAGTTATCTGCATTACAAACTGAGATTTCTTCCTCATAGGAATGCAAAACAAATGTCAACATTCCAAAATGCCTATTTCCCCATCAAAAATTGCCAAGCATGCAAAGAAACACAAAATAAAAACAATAATATGAAATAAAGTCAATTATTTGAAGCTTATCAAGAGCTAACAAGTACGTCATAATTCACAGGCTAAGAGATTAGAAATGCTTTTGTATTAGTTAGGGTTTCTATTGTGATATATAACACTATGACCAAAAATAACCTGGGGAGAGAGGGGTTTATTTCAGTTTACAGTTGTAGTACATCATCTAAAGAGAAGTCAGGACAGGAACTCAAGACAGGAATGTGGAGGCAGGAGCTGATGCAGAGGACACAGAGGGATGCTGCTAACTAGCTTGCTCCTCATGACATGTTCAGCCTGCTTTCTTACACAACTCAGGACCACCTACCCAAGGGTAATACCATCCACAATGGGCACTCCCACATCAGTCATTAATCAAAAATATTCCCACAGACCAATTTAGTAGAGCATTTTCTCAATTGAGGTTCTCTCTTTTTAAATGACTCTAACTCTAGCTCAGCAGTTCTCAACTTGTGGATCTTGACCCATTTGGGGTCACCTAAGACCATCAGAAAACACGGATATGTACATTCTGATTCATAACAGTAGCAAAATTACAGTTATGAAGTAGAGACAAAAATAATTTTATAGTTTGGAGTCACTACAACATGAGGAACTGTATTAAAGAATCTCAGAATTAGGAAGGTTGAGAACCACTGCTCTAGCTTGACAAAACCATAGACAACCAGCACAGCTCTCAGAGGAGTTACAGAGACTGCTCAGTTGGTAAAGTCCCTGCTGTGCATGCACAAAAACCAGAGTTTGATCACCAGAATCCACATGAGAAAGCCTAGTATAATGCACATGCTTGTAATACCAGGGCTGGAGAGGCAGAGACAGGAAGCTCTCTGGGACTTCTGGCCAGGCAAAATAGCCAAATCAGTGAGCTATAGATTCAATAACAAACAAAAAATAAAAATAAATTGAAAATCTCAAAAAAAATCAAAGAAGTACCAAGGAAGAAATCTAGTATTAACTGCTGGCACGCAAGTGCACCCAGGGGTGAGCACACATGTGAGAACACATGCACACACACACACACACACACACACACATACTTAGAGTGCTCTCCTAACTATATTCCTTCTTTTTCCTAAAGAGTTGAGGGAAGCAGACTGAACAATGTCAATTAGCAGCATGAAGATAACAGGCCCAAGCAAAACTGAAAACCAGTGTCTGAGAACAAAAAACAGCAGTTGGGGTAAAAGACAAATCAGACCTGCAGAAGAAATGTTGAGATGAGTGAAACAGCAACAGAAACTATCCAAAACCAAATACAGAGAAAGTCAGCCTTGAGCTACAGTCAATCTGCAAATAACTGAAGTCCCTGGAAAGGGTAACCTAGAGGAGAACAGAAAAATATCTAAAGAAACTAACAACTAAAATTTCTCTAAGTTATATGAAAAGCATGAATTGCCACATCCAAGAAAGCTGATGAACCAAAGAACAAGAAAACCACATTAAAATGACACCTTAAAAGTACATTTTTTAAAAAATCACATTGACAGGAATGTTTTTACATATTATTTCTCAAAAATAAAGCAAGTGTGGCTAACAAGATGACTCAGTAACTAAGGGTACCTGCCACCAGCCTGACAAGTCAGGTTCAACCCCCAAAGCCCACATGCTGGAAAGAAGGAACCTATTTCTGCAAGTTGTTCTACAACCTCCACACCCACTCTGGCATATGTGCAGCCACACACAGGAAAAATCAACTCAAGTGAAGAAACAAAAACCCAACATCTTTGAATATTAACATATTTGAAAAGTAACTTGAGGGGCTGGAGAGATGGCTCAGTGGTTTATCACCAACAAGGTGATTAACAACTACTGGTAACTCCAGTTCTAGGAGATACACAGATATATACGCAGGCAAAACATTCATACATATAAAAATAAAAAAGCCTTAAAAAAACAATTTCAGAGAATATATACTTACCCCCTCCCATAAGAAAGACTAGTCAATGACTCTGAACACAGAAAGTTTTTAACACAGACTAAACTTTCATAAATTTTCAAATATCTTAAGATTATTTACAGTCTTTTAATAACTAACCAAGACCAACAAATAAATCCAAACAAAGTACAATACCTAATTTTGTCTTAAGGGTCTTTACATTCTCAAGTTCTTGCTCCAGTTCCATTATGTTGTATCCCACTGATGGAGACAGCCCTAGGAAAGCAGAAGTATTTGTAAATGTAGCCGTGGAAGCATTAACACTTGGGACCCACTGATGCTGGGAAGAACAGATGCTGGTGTGAGTCACACGAACGCTCACCGTTTAGAGCAGCGGTTCTCAATCCATGAGTTGAGACTCCTCTGGAGGTCAAACGACCCTTTCACAGGGGTCCTCTGACCATCAGAAAACACAGATACTTCTTCTGATTCATAGCAGTATCAAAATTACAGTTATGAAGTAGCATTGGAAATAATTTTTTGGTTGGGGGTCACCACAACATGAGGACCAATATTAAAGGGTCACGTCATTCGGAAGGTTGAAAACCACTGAAGAGCATCCAAGTTCTTGATGGCTGAAATCAGGTTTCTTAGAAAAAATGTCTTTCCTTGCTTGATCTACTATATTAATCTTTTTTATGTGCTTATTTACTGTAGCAAGAACGAGGAATCAAGACCTCCCACTCTAGCTCACTCCCCTGAGATGGCAAATATCGCCAGTGTGGCTGGTGCTTCCATGGCTTTCTTCACATTCATATTTAACTTCCGTCTTACATATGGGTTTTCTCACTCATCCAAATTCTTAGACAACTGTCAAACCAGAAACATTAGTTGACGGTTTGCTGTTGCCTGTCAATAAACATTTCCCAACAGCTGAGTATGCACACCACAATCTGGATGTGCTGCAACTTCACTCAGCATTATTTTATTTGTCAATATTCTGGTGAACATTAACATAGCCAGTTCATTTGCTTCTATTATTTCTGTGAGACAGATTTCCAAACTTCAGAATGGTGGGCCATTTGCAGTTTTAAATGCGTTTTAAAGTTTACAGTTTACAAATGTTCTTATGTATTATAATAATTCAAGTTATTGTAACAGTTTCAACTTCTACCAATAGCTTTTGAAAATTCCTATTTTCAAAATGCCTGTATCATCACTAGCACTGTATGTGGCCAACTGTTGAACTTTTGCCAAAGTGCTGGGCTACTTAAATGCACATTTTCTTAGATGCATCAGGTCACATCTCATGTTTCTCATGTCTCTACCTGTCTCTCCAGTGGTCTGTGTACAGTATCTTCCTGTTCTTTCTGCTTGACCTCTTAAATCCTGAAACATATAAATTTAAATCCCCAGATACCAACTTGTCAGGTTAGGTTTCCTCCACTGTTAAACAATTATTTTCATTATGAATGTGCATTTGGTTGCTGAGGGTCTCCCTTATTATATCTCTAAGATGGTTACATGTTTCTTATAAAAAAAATCTTACCATTTCATAATGATCATTTTCTTAAATGTCCTGCAACCTAAATTCTGTTTTGAGAACTTTAAAGTTTTCCTTCCTTTTCAGGTTTTACTTGCCTGGCATTTGTATTTGTGTGTGTGTGTGTGTGTGTGTGTGTGTGTGTTTCACTGTAATCACTCTCTAGCTAAATCTTATTTGAAGTTTAATGTCTATTAGTTAAGAATTAATTGGTAGCCAGTAGGTGATGGTGCACGCCTTTAATCTCAGTAATTGGGAGGCAGAGGTAGGCAGATCTCTGTGAGTTCAAGGCAAGCCTGGTCTACAAACTGAGTTCCAGGACAGCCAGAGCTGTTATACAGAGAAATCCTGTCTTGAAGAAAAAAAAACCACAAAACCTCAGACCCATGGGAAAATTAATGGCAAAGCCTTCCTTCCAGGTCCAAGTGCAAATGTTGTTTGTGAGTGCAGAAAATGTCCACCATAGCTTTTTCCCCCAGGACTATTTATGGCCTGAAGATTGCTACCCTACAGAGACTGTTACTACTCAGATTAACTAACCCTGCCTCCTAGTTCAGCTCTATGCAATAACCCTGCCTCCCTATTCAACTCAATATGATAAACATGCTGAGTTGCACTTGCCTTGGTTTCCCCATTAGAAAGCCCAGTCCAACCAATACAATTTCTTTCTGTGTCTGTCTTTGCTTCATTGAAACTTAGAAATAAGAAAACAGGCCAGAATGACAAGCATAAGTAAAATATAAGAGGTATAAGAATGTCAGAGTTGCCTTCAGTCAGGTCTGTCCCTGGAGCCTTGAAGAACCCAGCACAGCAAGGAGCAGTCAACCTAACCATCTAGACTCCAGAGTGAACGTTCAGGAGTGCTTCCTTCCTCGGCTGGAAATGTGAGGGGAAGGAAAACTGCAGAGCTTTGCTTCCTCGCAGAAAGGGCCAGCAGGACCGGAGCAAGATCATGTGCTGAGCAGCCCACTCTAGTTCACTCTGTCCTTCCACAGTCAGCCCATCCTATTACACTCAGCGAAGTGCACTACCTGCTTTCAGAACAACTCAAGACATCAGCTTTCCACAGTCTTAGTTTCCAGTGAGTTTTAAAAGGTTTGTCCTTATCAGAATGAAGAGTGCACCAAGCTCAGTGTCAAGCATTTGCCTGGACTCGTTTCAACACCTGCTTCTTCCTAACACCACCTCACCAAGAAGTGTTTTGATGATTCTTCATGCCTCATGGTGGCCAGGAAGCAGAAAGAGAGGAAGGAATCCCAGGCAAAATACCCTGCCAAGGACATGCCTCCAGATTCCCGAAGATAAGAACTACCTTCTAATGCAGTGTTTCTCAACCTGTGGGTCATGACCCTTTTTACATGGGTTGCCTAAGACCATCAGATAGCACAGACATTTACAGTATAATTCATAGCAGTAGCAAAATTGCACTAAATAGCAACAAAAATCATTTTATGGTTGGGGGTCACACAACATGAGGAACTGTATTAAAGGGTCTCGGCATTAGGAAGATGAGAACTGCTCTAATGCTTGCAGCATCTTGCAAACTAGCACCACCAGGCTGGAGCCTTTAGTCATGAGGCTATAGATTCAGCACTGCTTTTGAGAAGTCTGTAGCCGTTCTCAGTCTTACCCCAGAAAGGTCTGCTTGTCAGTGACACTGTAAACTGTACAGGATCTTTGTTCCCAGTATTCTTGTTGTGAATACCTGTCTGTGCAGTGTTGGAAACATGGTGAGCATTTTCAATCCCAAAATTCATACATCAGATGACAGCAATTTCTTGATCCTGACATTTTTCATATTTTCTCTCTTAGCCCTGTCAGTAAGGAATGTCTTGTTAGCTAGAGGCTGTCTCTACTAAAGGGGTTTCTAAAATTCTTACCTCATTTTTCTCATTCTGGATTATGTTCTTATTTCTAAGTTTCAAGACACCTTTTGTGAATTTGATGTCCCAGACAATAGACCTTGGATTTCTCATGAAAGTGGCCTCCTTGTCCATCTGAGGGTACGAGGAGTGTTTCTTCTTAAGTCACTCTTCCCGTACACCCCATACCCACATGCGCATGCCTGCTTGTGTTCACATGGGAGGCTTTCCCCAGCCACCAGTCTTGGTTGCTAGGTTTTAAGAATGAAGCTATGAGGAGTAAATGCTGGTTTGAACTTTAGACAAGTTTCACATATGAAAGTCCAGTGATTCCCTATTGCTAGAGCTGCAGAGGTTTCCTCCTGAGTTCCTGAGAAGAACCCTCCTGACCTTGTCAAATAAAGTTCAGTTGTTCAAGTGGAGAAGGACGGAGCCTATGTGTTTTTGTCTGTAAGCACCCCCACCCTTCTGCTAAGATGGACAAGAGGCATGTGCCTGGCACCTTGGATGGAAGCAAAGGATGTGGAGATTAAGCCACTTCATGACAGTTATTCAATGAGCCCCCTCTTTCTTAGTGCATACTACCTTACCTGGTGGTGCCACTTTGTGATTTGGGGAGATTCTAAGGAATAAATCAAGCATAGAAAACTTAGGAGTGGACTTCTTTTGTTCTGTTAAACTAGTTAATTCCAACATTTTCCTGTCTGCTAAATTCTAAATTTTTATTGTGGTTTTTCTCCTTGGAATTTTCTATCCTCTAAAGTTTATGATTCTCTGGACCTCATTGCTCTCACATGTGGAATTGCATGGACCCATCAGGATGCTTTCCACTAAATCACAAACCCAAGGTTTAGATTAGAATGTATGAGAAGAGCAAACCTCCGTGTGGTTTTCCAGCAGCTCAACAGTGACATCAAGAGACTAAACTGTGCCTCCCACAAGCTAGACTGATGTGTGATGAGTAGGGATTTTCCCTCTGGGCAGGGCAAATGTGTAGACTATTCTACCTTGCCTTTTTCTTTTCCTTCTTTCCCCAGCTACAAGGACCTTTGTTGATTCTTTCCTGAGGTCCATTGGGTACTTCAGTGCTTACCTTCTCATTGGTAGTTCTCCTATAATTATAATATCAGTATAAACAACCTTAGCCTACAGCCTGCTTTTATGTATAGAGTACTGTGTCAAGGTAAAACTCTCACCACCACATTAGCTAATCATTTCCTTATGGCTTCTCACCCTTTCCTCCAAATCCTCATTTTGCTGAAATATTATTTCAAGACTAATGCTACATTTTTCTTTCAGTGTAGAAGTTAGAATAGTGTCTGGCATAAGTTCAGTTCTCAATGCAGAGATGTGAAATGAATAGGTTTTTTTTTTTTTTGCTCTAATAAATAAGCAACATCTTGGGGAATGTGTGTGTAAAACCCTTTACAACTGTGTATGTTATTTAGTGCCCTATAGCAAGTTACAGTTGGTAAACTGATGCTGAACTATCTATTATTCTTTTTTCTGAGACAGGGTTTCTCTGTGTAGCTTTTGGAGGCTGGCCTGGAACTCGCTCTATAGACCAGGCTGGCCTGGAACTCACAGAGATCCACCTGCTTCTACCTCATGAGTGCTGGGTTTTAAGGCGTGCGCCACAACCACCACCTAGCTGAACTATCTATCTTAAATATATACTTCTACTAAAAGTAATTTTTCATGTAATATATTCTGGTAACAATTCCTACTGCCCCAACTCCTCCAAGGTCCTCTTCACATCCTACACCTTCCTTTCCCTTCTTTTTCTCTCTCTTTAGAAAACAAACAGGCAAACAAAAAAAAAAACAAATCAGAATATTTTGTTGTTTTTTCAAGCCAGGGTTTCTCTGTGA